CAATACTTTAAATGATCTTCGCAAGTAAAGCCACCTCCGGACGGCTCAAATCCCGCTGATTTCCTTGAAAATCCCTCGAAAATAAGATCGCCACAAATGGAGCTTCCTTAATGCAGCTCTTTAGTGATATTAAAACCTCCCACTACTCTTACAACTTCAATCTACATCAACACAATTCAATTGGGCCAATATTAGTAGACGAATTTCCAGATTTTTGGTCATTTAGGCATTTTATCAAATACCTAGAGTACATAGCATTTTACTACCTCTAGTAATGGTGTTTCTTCATCCAAAAATCCCTCCTTCCCACCAACAAGAACTACTAAGACATCCTTTGTCTACAAACAACCTTCTTTAGCACCATTAAAATCATTAATGAACTCGCATCCACCCAGTTGTTACTAATTAATTCATTACAAAATCTTTACAACACCCAATAATCTAGTTTAAGTATTTATGGATTCCAAGCACCATCCAATAAGTACTAATACTTATGTCTTGCTTACATACTCATAATAAATCTATGCATATATGTTTAAGGGTGTAGGATTATCTTTTGAAAGAAATCTTGTCAAAACCCTCTTTTGAGTTCTTGAAGAAATTTCTTGAAGATCTAAGGATTTCATGGTGCATTTAGTTAGTTCTAGAGTGGAAATGATAGAATGAAACACCAAATTAATAGGGATTACTCACCTTGGAGATGGAGGGAGTTGGAGGTCTTGAGAGGGTGGAGGAAACCCCCAAAATTCGGCCAAGAGGAATGGGGAAAAATGAACCCCGAAGTGAGTAATTAACATTTCAAACGCCACAGGTGGCATGGGGCGCTACTTGTGGCCCTGTTTCCAGAACCTCAAAAATCCCAACGCCCCACGCTACCCTGGGCGTTGGTGATGGGAAATCTGTTCTATTTCACCCGGGTCAAGGTTATTTTGGTAACCACCACTTTTATACAAGATTTATTCAAGAATTTTCCCGAGTACCAAACCTAAATATCATGAATCACGCACCTATTTAAGACTAAGAAACTTATGAACTTCCGAATTCCAAATTCTACATTCGATGCCGAAACCTATCAAATCAAGTCTGATTGACCTAAAATTTTGCATACAAGACATAAATGACATAATGGGCCTACCAAAATTTCCAGAACTGGATTACAACCCTGATATCAATAAAGTCACCTCCCGGTCAAACTTCCAACCTTCCATTTCCAACTTTCGTCATTTCAAGCCAAAATCAACTATGGACTTCCAAAAAAATATCCGGACACACTCCTAAGTCCAAAATAACCATACGGAGTTATTGAAACCATCAAAATTTTATTCCAGGGGGTTGGTTGCTCAAAAGTCAACTCTCCGGTCAGCTTTTTTCTTTTAAGCTTCTTAAATAAGAATTGTTCTTCCAATTTGATCCTAAATCGTTTGAAAACCAAACTCGACCACACACGCAAGTCATAATATACATTACAAAGTTGCTCGAGATCTTAAGCCGTTGAACGGGAAGCTAATTCTCAAAACGATAAGTCGGGTCGTTACATCTGGCTATTATAACGCTTGGGTTGAAGGAGTCCCTCTGGAGTCTGCACCCTCCACAATGAGCGCGGTTGATTTTATATTGAGGGATGGATCTTTCCTAGACATGTATCTTTCCCGAATCATTTATACTTTGGGATGAATTTTTCCTGGGCATGGATCTTGCCCGAATTTATACTTTGGGATGGATTTTTCCTGGCATGGATCTTGCCTAATTATCTATATTGAGGGATAGATCTTCCCTGGGATGGATTGGCCTTACACAGTATTGAGCGACTGACTGTCAGTTGATATTATATTTGGGATGGATCTTCCCTGGGTTGGATTGGCCATATACAGTACTGAGTGATTGAGTATTTTGAGAGTGTGGGTACACGAGGTTTCCATTGAGGTGCAACACATACAGCATGTAGATATAGAGATGTCATATTCCTCATATCATTCAGAATTGATCTATTTTACTTGTACTGAGTTTAACTGTTGAACTTGAAAGCATGCCTACATTTCTGTACTGTTATTTATATATTGGACTGTACTTGTTGAGCTCGTCACTACTTCCAGCCCAAAGGTTAGTCTTGTTACTTATTGAGTACATGGGGTCGGTTGTACTCATACTACATTCTTCACTTCATGTGCAGACCCAGGTACCTCCGGATACGGCGGCTGCTAGATTTCGCGGATTTATCTGTTGGAGACTATCGAGGTAGTTGCTTTGGCATCCACAGACCTTGACTCTCTTTCTTTTCAGTTATTTGTATTGTTCTACATTTCCAAACAGCGTTTGTATCAGTCAGACTATGTTATCATTTAGATGCTCATGTACTCAGTGACATCGGGTTTTGGGAGTGTATTTTTATAAATATTTGTGGGATTTTCTATTGAATTCAAATACAGTCAAACCTCTCTATAACAACCTCGTTTGTTCCTAATATTTTTGGATGTTATAGCGAAGTGTTGTTATAGAGAACATATATTATAACATAACATAAAAATTGGTTCCGAAAAAGCTTGACTTTTATAGAGAAGTACTGTTAAATAGGGATATTGTTATAGAGAGGTCTGACTGTATTATGTTTTCAAACTCAACGGATTATAGTGTTTATTGAGGTTATCGGCTTGCTTAATATTGAGATAGGCGCCATCATGACATGTGAATTTTGGGTCGTGACAGAGACGTTCTTGATTGCATGAGTATAGGAGAGTGCATTGCATCTATATAAAGGTCTTAGTGGATGTAACTGAGAACACACAATCTAAATCAAACCTCTCTATTTCTTCTTAATTCCTTCTCTTCTTCTTTAGTGTAAAAATGTCGGAAGGACAAAGCAGCAAAGGAAAGGCTCCACTCTTCATCAAAAACCCTGGTATACTAGCTTGATGTTCTCTTTATTAATTAATTAATAATGTACTAGTATACATTAACCCTTCTTTACTCTCTTTTCTTCCTCTACTTTAATTCACACACAAAAACACCGCAATACAAGTGTCTCCAAGAGTACATTGAGGCGACAACGATTGTTGATACTTATGAATAGACAAGTGAAGCCCTTGAAAAGGAAATGAACAGGAAATGCAATGAAATAGCACAACAAGCCAGGAATTAGAGGAAGATTGTGGTTGAGTCAGTCCATGATGCTATTGGGATGGAGGAATTCTTGCAAAGGAAATGTGGCAGGGAAAATGGATGGACAGGGACTATGGTGACCGCTACACCTCAAAGCCCAACAGAGGAAGATATGTTGCGCCGGAAAATGAACAAACTAAGGGATGCTTATGAACCCCTAAGAGTTACGTCAAGTGATGTCTCCTCTCTAAAGAGATTAGGGAGTGGCACGAACCGAGGGAGCAAGAGAACAGAGCAAAGAAGTTGGCATTATTTGATCCATCGTCTTGTAACTTTTTTTAAATTGTTCCATTGTCTTGTGTGTTTCTTTGAATTCTGTAGTGCTAGATTCATCTGTGTTCGGATGATAATTTCACCAATATAGTTGTTGTTAATTCTGTTATAGGCATTTTGACTTCCTGAGTTTGAGAATTGGCTGGATGTACTGTTCTAAACTTTAGTAGTCTCTGTCTTTGGAACAAGTAGCTGACCTTTTACCTGGTATCTAAACATTTTGTAAATATTCAATCTATATCCCCCCTTACACCTTTGCAGGCAAAAACTATCACAAATTTTGGTCTTTTTTAAAACTTTTGATTTGTTATTTTGCAAAGCTCTCTATGTTGGACTATGTTTAGCTTCTTTGTTTGTTTGTTCTGATTTGTGGATAATATGTGTTTGTAGGAATGGCCTATTTGTGTGACTTATGGAGCTATAGATGGCTACTTGGTGGGGTTGTTCGCATCCTTGGTTTGCATTATCTTCCGTAACCGCCAGCAGCATCTAACAGGAGAGTAGTGTTGGAAGACTTGATATGCAATGGTATTAGTTTACTTTGTAGACGAAGTTTTGACCCATTGTTACTCTTGCTCAACTGCATAGCTATCCAATTTGTTCTTTTCATGATTTAGTTTTCCTCTTGCTTTACCTCTTTGCATGGTTGATTTTTTTAGTGAATGGTGAAAGGAAAAGGGAAAGGGTAATGGAATTTCAAAAAGAAAACATTATAGCTCAATTGTGAAGAAATGCTAATCACAAACGATCAAAATTACAATTTACCAATGACCGAAGGGACCAAATGTGCAATTATCCCAAGAAAAAAACAAACGAACAAGTGGAAACGTGATTGATTGTGAGTTGGACGAATTGACAGGTGACTTGCTCCTTGGTCCATTTTGCTCAAATTTTGGATGGGTTGGCTCAAATCGTTTTAACCCTCTTAAATTTGACCTTATTATCCATTTGACATCCCCTATTCAGCTTTGAATTTTCCATGAAAATATTACAAGGTGAAAAACGATTATACTTCTATAAATCTCCGAGAACAGAGAAAAAGAAAAGGGAAAAAACATATACGCATCAAAAAAGGGGTTAATTTTTATAAGACTGCATCAAGAAAAGGTATATATTTGAAAGCGATCTACAAGGTAGTAGTAATCTGGTACAATCCTTCATTGAGAATGTTTTAATAGTGTAAAAAATAGTTAAACTGTCACCATATATCTACCCAAAAAGAACAATAAATCTCCATTCTTGCACAGAAAAGGAGCCTAACATCAAAACAGACTCAAGAAAACATAATTATTTAGAAGAAACTGAAGCCTAGAAAAGGATTTTAGAAGCTTTCAGAATGGCCAAACTATCTTCAGGTTTGTACCTCAATAATGCTATTTTCCAGTTCATTCATCGTCACATCGTTGTTTACATCCGTATGCCACAAGAAAATGGCACTCAAACAGCAGAGCCTAACATCCACGATTGATTCTTAGCAACAGAGAACTCTTCACTTGTGTCAAATAGTTCCCTGGACCAAATTTGGTGCAATTTGATATATATATATATATATATAAATCAAACTATAGCACACGTCTAAAAGAATACAGGAGGAATGTTACATTGAGCTACGAGTATGCCCCTCACAAGGAAAGAAAGGAGCAATCATTCAGCTAACCGCTATTTCAGCTAGAAAACCATCAATGTGCTAGAAGAACTTGAGTTTCCCTTTGGCCATAGATGCTTTTCCATGCTCCACATAGCATGCTGCTTTTTGAGTCCCTTTCAAGCCAGAACATGAGTCACCGGCCCCTAAAGTGACTGCAAAGTAGAGATAGACAGTGCAGAGAAAGGCTAGGAGGGCAAGCGCAGTTAGCAGGAAGCGGTGACGCTGAAGTAGAGTCGAACAGCTCCCAAATTCATCACCTCGGGAATGTTGTCTTTTTAATGATGATGAAGTTGAAAATGCAGTCTGCGTCTGTGACCTCCTATGAGGTGAAGATATATTAACTTCAAGAACCATAGCTTACACACCGAATCTTTTGCAACCGGATACAATTCTTGCACCTACTTAAATTCAACATAGTAAGCATTATGAGTGCTATAGAAGAGCACAGAGCACTAATTAAGTTCTGGGAGACAGCAAATAGAAGTGAAAATCTACATTTTACTGGCCCTACGCCATAAGCAACAGCAATTGGGGGAAGACAAAGAGGGAGGGTAATACAATAGGCATCAGCTAGCTAGCTTTCAGCCAAGAAACCCCAAGGTATGGAGCCAGTTCATAACACATCTAGAAAGTAAAATCTGAACTATTGAAAATAATTGAACAATTTGACTAAGCAAACAATGTCAGAGTGGCAATGATAACAGTAAAATGATCGGCAAATATTATGGCCAATGATAGCCATTTCACATCCTTCTTTTCTTACAACCAAACTGATTAGAAACATTACGATAGGGAGAATGTACCAACATGGTTAGAGGGCAGAGTAGCAGATCTCTATTCCGTCTTAGTTTTCCATCATGTCACAGAGGTTTCATCATTTTTTCAGTTCATGTCACTTATATTAAAACTCAGAAAAATTTCATACGAGATTCGTTTGAACTAAATCGGTTCAATATCTAGTTACCATATATGGTTTTCTCATTATCCATCTCTATCAATATGCAAAGAATAACAATCTCCTCACACTGGTCATTATGTAACGACACTATGCTAGCAAATGATAATGTAACACTATCGTAGCTGAAGTCGTATATGCAGTGGCGGAGCCACATGCACTCAAGGGATGTCAACCGACACCCCTTAGTCGAAAAATTACACTATGTAGTTAGGTTATTTTTTTTAAAATATGTATATATACTATGTATTGACACCCTTTGATTTCTTGGTAAGTTTATTTCTTTATATTTTGACCCCCCCTTAATGAAAATTCTGGCTCCGCCACTGCGTATATGGATGTAATACGGCACCATGAATGTCAATGCTGCATGCAAAGAATCCAAGTTTGCTCTGTCTAGTTCTAAGATGAGAAAGGCAATCAGGTCATGTTATTCAGAAATTCCAAAAGATTTCTGACGTAATAGCTATGGTTAATTCCTATAGCCGTTGTTATCAGTCAGATTATGAAATTCAGATTCTTCCGCACCATAACATTCATGTTCTCACTTCTCACCATCAAAGGAGCAACAACCTAGGCCAGATGTCAACGCAATATCAATATGTTATTGACATTTCAGAATACACTCAGTTAACCTGTTCATTCGCACAAACCAACTTCATAACTGCATAAATACAGCTCAACTGGACGATTGGCAAAGACCATCACTCCCAGAAAATCCCTAAAGTGAAAATCTCTTTTTGAGTTTAGGAGTGATGACCCAACTGAACGTGCAAAGAAAATGTTAAGCAGCTCTAGTCCAACAGATTGCATACTTTTCTTTGAACGCATAATCTGTTGCAAACAAAGATTTAGACGATAGCAGGCAACACTTTGAGGCTTTCTAAAAACGATAGTGTTAATGCCTTTAGACAATTTGTGTAAAATATTACACTGAATACAACGTAACTACATTATAAGTTGATTGTATCAAACCTCTAGACTTATCAGGTTAAGACCTCTTCCTGATCCATAATTACAATTAAGCCCAATATACTTAATCTCCACAAAGTTATTATTCCCTAACCAACAGAGCTTGTTGAAATCACACGATTTCATCAATATGCTTTGTACAAGGCCCGAAACATAATTCGCCTCTAAACATCAAACAAACTCACTAGTCAGTGCACCCCAATCCCAAACTAGTTAGGCTTTGCAGTAATTGAAACATCCCCAAACTCACTAAATACTGCACCTCAATGTAAATAGTTGCATTTCGACTTAAGAGTCCAAATATTAAACTCCTTTATTACTAAAAATCGTACAATGACGTCCGACATATACGGATCTCAATTGTGTAGATAAGATAAAAAAAAAAAGTTCCCAAATCTTTTCCAAGGACAGTCAATTAATCGAGTTAATAAACAAAACAAACCAATCAATTTCGACAAATCGATAGGAATACAACAGATCTGCAAAACCATATAAAAGGGAAACCACATTGAATACAGCTGAAAAAAATAGTACGAGTCAATTGAAATGACAAAAGGGAAGGGCCTTACAATGAAAGGGAAAAGCGAAAAGAATGTCCTTCAGCCAGATCAGAGCTAATGGGATGTCCTTTTCCTTGCAAAAATCAATAACTGGAGTTTGTGTTTTAAGGAATTTTGGGTAATTGTGAGAATCGAGAGCTCCCTTTTGATTCGGAGAGATGCCCGCAACGACACGAGGGTCACACGCTTTCGCTAGGGAGATGGACAAGATTTGGACTTTGTTTTAGGGGCATTTCTTGTATTATCTAGTTTGCAAAATTTATGTTGAATTACATTCTCTACTAAAAGGCGCCTTTGTCACAGCTCGTCTTGTAACTCTCAGTGAATGTGGATGTAAGAACTTAGTAGTACCGTGTTTTATAGGATCCTGTTCAGTAAAATCCCTCCAAGCGGATTCAGTCAAAAAGCATAGTAAAAAATTATATAAGCGACACTGGTAAATAAAATTTGTCACCATGCAGCTTTATTCGTCATGTGTCCTCAAAATAAAGTCATTGATGCTCTTTTAATCAAAGTTGGGAATTATTTTTAAAAAAATATTTACTTTTAATTTTCAGAATTTTATCTATATATATTAACAAATTTTAATTCAACAAATTTATTAATTTAAAAAAAAAAAAATTAACCAACTTAGAAATCTTATAAGAAATTTAACATAAGAAGTATTTACAAACAAAAAAAAAGTTTTTAAAAAAAAAAAGAGTTATGAACTAAACTAATTGATACAAATGTTAAAAGTAAAAGAAATTATACACCGAACTAGAATTTTCAGCATTACATAAATTAACAATTTTAACACAGATAAACTAAATTACATTAAATTAAAAAACTACAAATTATCTCAACAAAGTACTCTTATGTTTTAGCAGAAATTATGAAAGAGAGAATCAAAATTCACTTTAAGGAAATGTTCTTTTTTAAAAGTAAAATAGGGTTTAATAAAAATAGCTACTATTATGGACACAAGGTACCAGTAGGTGATGAAAACAAAACGGTAACGTAAAATAGTATCTACGTGTATAACGAAATGATGAACTGAATCATGAAATGAAATGTGGAAAACATATAAGTTCACTGATTCAGAGATTCGAACTTGAGACGTTCACCTCCATTATGAACCCTCTTTGCTGCAGCAGCCATTTATGTCAAGTGGATTCATATCTTATAATATTATCTGCTTTCATGTTTTTTTCATAAAGTTAACAAGTAAAAATAACTATTTTTTTTACGTCGAAGCAGGTTCAACTGAATCCCCTTACTATAAGATGGGTTCGCCGTGCTCTAGTATAGTTTCAATGGTGAGGATCTATTTAGTCTTTAACTATAGTTAATTCTTCTCTAACTTTTCTTTATTCGCACTGCGATAACACGTGCATGTCTTCTTAATTTTTACTTTCTCCTCTCTTCATTCTCCTTCTTCAAACTCCTTTAGAACTCAGCCAAATAATTTTTCAATTCTCTCTCCATTCTTCAAAATTTATATTGTTTATATTGCTCTCTTTACGGATTTGATAATTGTTTGTTCTCTTTCGTCCATGAATATTCAGGACTGATTTTCTTCTTGTCATAACAAGCCCCCTATTTGGCACTATGTGGTTGAAGATGCAGCATATTGTCCTTTCCTAAGAACACTATTTATTCACTAGTAATATGATTTAGTTCCATTTTAGAATTGAACTACATATAATACACAAATTGAATTATTCATAATTGTTAATCCATTACAGAACATCTCCAAATTAGAAAAAAAAAATGCAGAACTTGCTGGAATGGTAAGGAGAAAAGGGGGCCTAGTCTGGATTCTCCAAGAGGAAAATAAAAGCTAGAGAAGAATTAACTATAGTTAAAAACCAAATAGATCCGGACCATTAAAACTATATTAAAGCACGTGTCAACATATTAATGCCCTATTGAACTTTACTGGACTGGATCTCAACCCTTTGGAAATGTCCAACCAGATAGCAGCGGTTAAGAAATCATTTAAGTTCGAATTCATGAAAGTGCAATTGAATAGTACTATAGTGGAAGTTGTGGGTTTGAACACCAAGGAGCAAAATCAGGAGCTCCTAAAGAGGGGTAAAAAAAAATATTAGTGGTAGGAGGATACTAAATTCAAACTCATTGTGCGCACGCTTTTTACTTATTTTGGGGTAAGACTAGATGTGGATACAAATATCGGGAAATTGTGATGGTGTGATGTGGTTTTATCATTAGAGACAATGATGCTGCTAACCTTGTGCTAGCTTCTTCATTAGTCCTGGAGAGAGCTTCAATTATGTTGACAAAAGCAAAGGCCATGCTCAAAAAAAAAAAAAAAAGATGTCACAACTAGAATTTGAACCTACAGTATAAAGCAATTTTTGAACAACCTTTGCAGCTACACTAAAAGCTTCCAATATGGTAAGGGCTTTCATCAAGTTCTGTAGTAATTCTAGTCCTGAGCTTGTGTACACCTCTACCAATTCCCATCCAATGGAGAATCGCAAACCTTTTGTTGGCCATGCGCTTGGAGCAAAATCAGAAGTCAAACGCAGGAAAAGAGATGCATCTGTTGATTGGTAACTGTACATCTCCACCTAACCCGCCAATACCCCATCCTTGGCAACTGGACTAACTAAAATCAAAAGGCCTTAAATCGCAATGGGAATAAGTCAAAACCAGCAGATCTTTACTGTCTTAAAACAAATTTTCCAAAGATAACAACTGGACTAACTAGAAGTCAAAGGCATTAAATAATGGGAGAACCCAGAAGTTGCATTTCCCACCTCAACCAGCAGTTCTTTACAGTCTCGGAACAAATTTCCACTAGTGATCATTTTCTGTCACTTGGAGTAACTGCAAAGCAAAGCTACCAAATGAACCTTCCCCACTCGACAAGAATTTTGGACGCACATTTAAAGTAAAACCTCCTTTACAAACCCTCATGAGTAATTAAAATCAACTCAAAACCTGTTAGTGGTGTGCAAAAGAATGTTGCTAAAAAGATTCTGGCACTCAATCTTCGTCATCTCCTGCATGCTCCAATAAATAATTTGCAGCTAGTTCCTCATTGCGATCACAAGCTAAAAAGGCCTCAATAACAAGAGCTCGATCAAAACCCATAGCCTCGAGCTGCAAATCAATGAACCAATTAATTAATGTACATCATAACATCCATTCATGAATGAAACAGAAAACAAGAGCTAGTTGGGGCGTGAAGAGAGATGACTATTACTCGCTCGATCGCCTCCTGCTCTTGTGGAGTGACACTAACTGTGTGGGGCATGTCCTGCTCAGGCTGATCAAATATGTCCCTAGAAGAAACAAGGGCAAAGCATGTCATCCAAAAGCATCCAAGGTATTTCATTTCTTTTTCCCCATTGAAAAGACCTATGGTATTCCAAATGTGGCCTTGGTACTATCAAATCTAAAGACAGAAACACCATAGCTCTTCCCAAGTAAGAAAAATGAAAATGAGAAAATACTCTTTAATTTCTGTGCTATGCTTGGATACTGGAAGTAATGCAAAATCTGTTTCTACTTTCTAGGCAAATAAATTAATTAACAGCAAAGAATAAAGCACCAAATTAAACATCCACCTGATCTGAAACAGATAAATGATAGAATGCTTTTTTCAAGATTACATGCACCCTTTCCATTTCAAGAAAAGATACATGCATCCTTCTCTTTTCCTTTTTAACAAAAGTTTTTACCCTCTTCTTTTTTGGGGGGATAAGTTATATAAATTCCATGTGTAACTATAGCTTGGTAAGGAGTAAGCTGAAAGCTACTAACCCATCAGAACCATCTACAGGTTCATTGATTAGTTGAAGAAACTCTTGATGGTGCTCTTGTATCATTCTCAAAAGTTGAGGATTTTGCTTTCCAAGTTCCTGAAGCATAGGCTGTACAGAAAGAATGAACTTGCACATTTAGACGATGACAATGGTAAACTACACTAGAGGACGAGAGTTACTTGCCTGTAGAATTTGTGGGTTAGATTGAACCATAGAACGTAATGCTTGAAACTGCAAAGAAAACAAAAGAGAAATTTAAGGGGCAAGAAAGTAGATGTCCAGGAAATTTAAGCACAAAGGAATGTCCAATGCAATCTATTCTACAGAGATACGGCTTAATCTAATTACTTCAAATTGAGCAACCTACCTCCAAAACTGAGGACCATAGGCAAAAGTCAAATTGAATGCCTAAAAGATGAATCCTACCTGTTGGTTATTCCTGAGAAAATCAAGGGATCCAAGGGCAGCACCACCAGCACCAGCAACATTCTCCTGTAGAACTTTCAGCTTAGACGACATAAGAAAAAAGATAAACAAACGTAAGCATCAATAAAAAAACTATAGTAGACCTGCGGAAACAAATTTAAAGGAGCTGAATTGGGTGCTCCAGAAACAGGGGCAGCAGGCACTGTAGTAGTCCCTATTGCAGAATTAACCCCGCTACTAGCTACTGGTACAGCAACTTCTGCTGTTTCAGGAATCCCCTATTAACAAAAGGAAGAAATCCCTCTCAAAAGACAAAAAGAATAAGAGAAAACAGACTTGCAGTGGATTTTTCCTGCAAAGTGGGGCAGACCAGGTACATACTGAATACAAGTAATCAATAGCCCTTTCAGGATTGTTATAAGCTGCTCTAAGTGCCCGTGTCACTGCTTCTTTATCCCAGTTGCCACCACCCATTTCCATAATTTGTTGTATTGTCTGCTCAAGATTATCTCCAGCAACTAGATTTGATGCAGCTTGACTAAAATTATCAGTTGGAAGACTGCAGCAAGGTAAAAGATGTAATAGTTATCTCGAGTATGGGAATCAAGAAAGAACATGCAAAGAAGTACGCAAAAGGAAATCTTATAATGAAGTAAACTGGTAAAGTGTCTTACCTAGCTGTTGCAGCATCAGAAGCTGATGCAACATCCTTAGGTTCCCTACACAGAATGTGTATCATGAGAAGAGCAGAATCCGAGTAAACAAGAGTCAAATTATGCTGACACTGAGAATGTTGACTTACGGTGCTGGTGGAGTCACTTCAGGTGCTGGAGTTGGGTTGACTGTAGGAGCTGAAGGCTGCTAACGTTCAAAGAATAAGAATTAATACTATGAAAATGAATTAATGGACACTAACCTGGAGAACTCTATCCCAAAATGACTACAAGAAGAGAAGTACCGGTGCAGATGACGTCCCACTTGAACCAGCAGTCTTGCTCTGCAGAAAGCACATTACGCATAGAAGGTTAGAAATTTGTTTTGGGATAACTAATCAAAAAATTTATAAATCACTAAGCCAGTGCGACAAAAGCATAACTATAAATTGTGCAAATCCCCTATTGTGTCTATAATAGCATCAACATCCTGTACTATAAGTAGATTGTACGCTAGCAAGAAAATACATCTTTGATTAAGGCTATGCATATTCCTCCTTTAGCCTTCAAAAATTATATCATTTCTTTCAAGTCACGCAGTCCACCAAATGGCTTGAGGGACGGTATTCCAAGTCTTTTGAGATTTATTGCACAACACTTCTTTCTTCCAACATTGCAGTAGCTCCATAGTGGATTTTGGCTTGAGGGTTAGAATATTAATTGACTGGACATCATACTGATCTCAGGATATTATGCCCGGCTGCTCGCATCCTCTGGATGCTCTGATTAACAAAATCCTTACTTCATAAAAAGAAAAGATTTTTCAAAGGATAAACGGGTATGGCAGCACTTTTACAAGATATGAGTTAGGTGCTGAGGAAGAAGTGCAAAGTTACAGGTAAAGAACTTCACAGATAAGGAGAACACGAAGATTTACAGTTTTACCTTGCTAAGCATGACAACAAGAAAGCCATCTTCAGAAACATTATTTTCCAATAACGTGCTTTCATCCTTCAAAACCTTACCATTGTGAATCAGTAACTGCTGCCCACATGGATAATTATCTTTTCCCTGTATATCCTCAATGTTTTTCTTGACTGCGATAATCTACATTCACACGAAATCCAATCTAAATGACCGACAAAAGCATTATAAATCATCACATAACAGTAGCCACTATTTCTATAGAAGTCTTTAATTTGAAAGCAAAGCAACCATGTCATTTTTCGATGAAGAAAAGCAACATTATCATGTCAGACTAGAGACGTGAGATTGTTAGGGTTTGGGTCACTAGACGCACTAAAAAGTTACAAGAACTCTTCAGCTAAAGAGTAAGGAACTTCATATGCAATTAAATATTTGCAAATGTTTTTTTTATAAGGAACAGTATCTCATTCACAAAAGCATGCAGAGCAAGTTATAGCTTTAAAGAGCTCAGAAATCCATGCATCATTTGCCTATCCATTATCATAATTGAAGCAAAATTTTAAAGTACTAATACAACTGAATTTGATACAAAGAATTGATCTTGACCCTCCTTCAAAGCAGCGATTATTCTAACACTCTGCTTCTCAAACAACAGTTAAATCAGTTAAATGGATAGTAGGCTATCAAAGCACATTTTTTGTCATTTCCTAAGACATGAAAAAAAATGGCATCATAAATAAAGACCAAAGGCAGCTTAAATTACTCAACGAATGACTCTGCCCAATTCAACTTTTCTTATTTTCTCCCCAAAATTTAGTCTCGCTGAAAAAATCTTCACACTGGTAGAAAATCTTAGCATTATGTAACATACTGTTGTTCAAGTGACATTCTTTACCTTAATGTAAAGTAAATAAAATCTAAATACTGTTGGAACAAACTTTCCATCTTACTCCCTCCGTACCGATTTATATAACACTCTTTTCCAATTTGTAAGGCCCCCCAATATGTTTGACACCATTATATTTCTACACAAACTTCACAACTTTCAAGAATTCAAATTTATTAATCTATTCAAATTTGGAGCCTTGGCGTAACTATAAGAGTTGTTGTCGTGTGACCGGAAGTTCAAGCCTTCAAGGATTCAAACCGGGGAAACAACCTCTTGCATAATTGTAACATAAGATTGCATATGATAGAACCCAATGCGGTTCAACCTTTTTTTGTACCTCAGCACGTAGCGAGAGCTTACACCAAGCTGCCCTTTTATCAAACTATAAATATTGTGATAATTTCTCTATCAAACTAACTTTCAAACCAGTAGTTCAATATTTTGTTCAACTATAATTAATAGAATACATAAGTCCAATAAATCATAAAAGCTATGTCTAATCAAATTCCTGTCATATAAAATGGAACCAAAAAGTTCCTGCTCATTCAGTAATACCATCGAGACTATCAAATTTCTTAAAACTCAAAACACAAAAGAAGTGCAAAATTCGGAATTAAACAACGCAAAAAGAGATAGAGAGGGACTAACGGTATCGGAGGGCTGAACCCTAATTTCGAAGTGACTGCCTTTCAGAGTCTTCACAGTAAGCTTCATATCGGCGAATTGTGAATTTACTTTTGATAGAAAAACCCTAAAACACCAAATGCTGCTATGAATCGCGACGATTATAAAATGTGCTTACCTTACAAGATTTGAGAGGAGCACTAATGGGTTTTGATTTTCAACATATTTGCAGACACGCGAGTTACTAATTATGGATTAGAAAAAGATCTTTGTTTTAACTTCTTTTTTTTACGAGTATTTGGTGTTAGAAAATTTGACGGAGAAAGAAGGAAAAGAAAATAAAGGAAAAGGATTGGTGTGATGCGATTATTGTCTCAAAGAGTAATTATGCAAATAATTGTGCCACATCATCATGCCAAGTAGGTACAACTTGACATATATTTTTATGATATGAAAGGGTTACATAAGTTAGGGACTAGCGCGTGATGGAATATTCTAGAACTATGGAGAATTTTTTTGGGAAAGCTCTAGATATTTATGGACTTGGTAGGAAGACTCTTTTGGAAAGTCATGAAATGTTCTAGTCATATAAAAAATTCTAGAGGGTGTACTTATTTGTAAATATAGGACTTATAGAATAATTATTATTTACACACTAGCCCCTAGATGATTAGTTTAAATATGGGGCATTCATTTGTAACTCAACAACCAAGCAAACAATTCAAGTTCTCTCTCATATAAAGCTTCCTTTAATAATTCTCTCGTGTTCTTTCCACCATTTTCTTAGCGATCTTGAGTGTGGTAAGGCTGACTTGGCATAGCAAGAATGTGAGCAAGTTGTGCAAGATCGTGAGCGAGTTGTCAAGTGTCGCGCGTGTACTTAGTTAACAACTAAGGACGTGACACAATGCTCATCTAGGATACAACAAGTATATTATGAGTTGTTCTTTTAAGTGTTCGATATATACTGAATGACGTCTCTTTTTAGTAGAAATGGCGTGGGGGTAGCCACTTTTTAACGTGGTTGTAATGACCCGGCCGGTCGTTTTGAGAGTTATAGCCCTGATCCCATGTTTACTGCTTTTCCCGTATCTTTGTCTGCTTATGTGACTTGCCGGGAGGTTGTTGTTGTAATTTCGAAGTGAATTGGGACACTTAGTCCCTAAACGGAAGCTTAAGTCTTAGGATTTTGACTGTAGTTGGAACTGTGTGAAGACGACTCCGGAATAGAGTTTCGTCGGTTCCATTAGCACCATTGGGTGATTCTAGACGTAGGAGCGTGTCCAGACTGTGAATTAGAGGTCCGTAGTTAATTTAGGCTTGAATTGGCGAAAGTCGGATTTTTGAAGATTTTGACCGGTAGTAGACTTTTTTAATATCGGGGTCGGATTCCGATTCCGGAAGTTGGAGTAGGTCTGTAATATTAAATATGTCTTGTGTGTAAAATTTGGGGTCAATCGGACGTGGTTTGATAGGTTTCGGCATCGGTTGTAGAAATTTAAAGTTTCAAGCTCATTAAGTTTGAACTGAAGGGTGATTCGTATTTTTAGCGTTGTTTAATGTGATTTGAGGGATCGACTAAGTCCGTATGGTGATTTAGGACTAGTTGGTATATTTGGTTGAGCTCCCGGGGGGCCTCGGGTGTGTTTCGGATGCTTAACGGATTGAGTTTTGGACTTATGCAATTACTCAAGCTATATGAGTTTTGGTGCTTTTGCACCTGCGGTGGGGAGACCGCAGGTGCGGGATCGCAAGTGCGGAGAGGCAAGCGCAGAAGCAGAAAGGAGAGGAGCTGCCTGGGGTCGCAGGTGCGAAGGAGGTGCCGCATCTGCAATGCCCGCAGAAGCGCTCAACGACCCGCAGGAGCGGAAGAAGACCGCAGAAGCACAGGTGCGACCCTTTGATCGCAGAAGCGGACGCTAAGTTTTTAAGTGGAATCCGCACTTGCGATGGGAATTCCGTATGTGCGGTGACGCAGGTGCGATTCTTGGCCCGCGGTGCAAAATCGCTGGGAAGAAAAGGGCTAAGTGGGAGGGTTTGATTTCATTCTCCATTTTTTGACCTAGAGAGCTCGGATTGAGGCAAAATTTCGAGGGATTTTCAGAGGAAGCTTGTTGGTAACGATTCTTAACTCTTTTATGGTTATATCTCATTAATCTATAGTTGATTACACCCTTTAGTTAAGGATTTGAGTTGGAAATTGGGTAAAAATGGTAGAAACTTCCTAGACTAAGTTGTTGAGATTTGGAAGGCGATTTGAGGTCGGATTTGAGAAATTCTTGTATGGTTGGACTCGCGAGTGAATGTCTGTTCGTATTTTATGACTTTTACCCGATTCCGAGACGTGGGTCCGGGGAGACTTTTTGGGGCGATTTTCTAATTTCTCGTTTTAGCTTTGATTTCATTAACTAGATTAGTTTCTTATAGTTATATCTATGATATGTAATTGATTTTGGCTAGATTTAGGTTATTCAGAGTCGGATATTCATGGGAAAAGCATTGTTACAAATTGATTTGAGCTTGGTTCGAGGTAAGTGGTTTACCTAACCTTGTGAGTGGGGGGGAATCCCCTTAGGATTTGGTGTTGTTATGATATGTGAGCGTCGTGTATGCAAGGTGACGAGTGCGTACTGTAACGATCCGGCCGGTCGTTTTGACTATTGTAATCCCGTTCCTCCATTTACTGCTCAAATTATGATTTACGGATGTTATTTGGCTTTGCCGGGGTAATTGGTTCGGGTCCGGTGAAGTTTTGGAATAATTTGGAGCACTTAGTTCCAAGGTTTAGAATTTAAGTTAAAAAGGTTGACCGATGTGTAAAGAAAAATTTTGCCGGAAGAAGGGTCATTTCTGCGACCACTATGCGGTCGCAGAATCACTTTGTGGATCGCATAATGGTCGCAGAGTGGATTAGGGGAGGGGCAAGATTTGAGGAAAATATGTGGTGCATTATGCGATCGCATACCTGTTCTGCGGTGTATTATGCGATCGCAGAACAGGTATGCGGGCCGCATAATGATCGCAAATCGGGTCAGTCACGCCTAGTTTTGGAGGCCAAATTATGGGGCTGATATGCGGACCGCATACCTGTTATGCGATCGTATAACTACGTCGGAGCTTCCATTCTTTCTAATTTTTGACCCGACCCAACTTCGATTTATAGCCTTTGAAGCTCATTTTTGAGCTAAAATCTGGCATTTTAGAGAGAGGTGAGAGCATTTTAGAGAGAGAAAGTGAAGATTTAGTCATTTATCCATCAATTCTTGTTCAAAGTTTGAAGATTTCACAAGGATCTTGCTAGGGCTTCAAAGAGGTAAGAATTTCTTTCCCCAATTCTTCAATGTTGGGTTTGAAGTAAAGATGGGTGATTAATAATACGATTCTTGGGTATAAGAGTATTATGTATACATACCAATAAGGTTGTGGAAAGATTGTTAAGTTCAAATGGGTAAAGATTGGGTTGAAAATGATAGAAATCTTCATAGACTTTAATTAAATATTTGAGGATCGAGCTGATGTCAGAATTTGGTAAAATTTGTACGGTTGGACCCGTGGTTGGATGGGCGTTCATACTTTGTAACTTTTGTCGGGTTCCGAAGCATGGACCCCACGGATAATTTTTGAGTTAATTTCAGATTTTATTGGAAAAGTAGTATTTCCTTATGGAATTAATTACAATAGTTGGTATTGACTGAATTGAATTAATTATGGTTAGATATGAGGCTTTCGGAGACAAATTCTCGTGGCAAGGGCATAGCAGAATAAAGAATTATACAGTTTGAGGTAAGTAACAGTTCTAAATTTGGTCGTGAGGGTATGAAACCCCGGATTATGTATTATGTGGTTGGTTTTGAGGTGACGCACATGCTAGGTGACGTGCGTGTGGGCGTGCACCGTAGGAATTGTGACTTGGTCAAATTCCATGGGATTGTATAGTTGAATAATCTGTTAATATCATACATTCTCTACGTTTCAGAGAAAATTGAGCTGAGACTCGTATTAAAAATTATGCTTAGGCATATGTTGTTATTGTTGGTACCCACTAGGGTTATTTTTGTGGTTGAATAATATGTTCAAATTGTAATTTTTCACTCAGTTATGTTTATTCATTTTATATCATACCTCAATCTCTCTTATTTATTATTGATGCATCATATCACTATTTTGGGGCTGCTTATGATGATTTCTGAGAGCCCGAGAGACTGGAGAGGTTGATGACTGAGTGAGGCCGAGGGCCTAATTATGAGGATATTTATGGATCGGGCTGCACGCCGCAGCATGTTTATTGATTTATGCCATGATTGGCTTGATATAGCGCTTGGGAAGNGCGCAGGTACTTACTGAGTGCAAGTGCCGAGTGATGAGTGACTGTGAGGAATGAGTGATTGTGAGGAATGAGTGACTGTGAGGTTGGAGTGAATGGGAGGATTGGGTGACTGTTACTCTGAGAAGATGCATTGATTTCATTATTTGCTGCATTTCAGCTGTCATATATCACTATTTTGGAAAACATTATTTTCTGTCCCGGTCAACCTTGATATGAAATTTCAGTGAAATCTTAAATGTTGAACTGAGAGCATGCCTACTCTTTTATATTGGAAAGTATTGTATTTGGACTTAGCTGAGAAGCTCGTCACTACTTTCAGTTCTTTATTTATTATTATTACTTACTCAGTTGGGTGTACTCATACTACACCCTGCACTTCGTGTGCAAATCCAGGTGATCCCGGATACAGTGGGTGTTGATTCTTTCGCACAGTCAATTTTTTCGGAGATTCAAAGGTATCTGCCATGTTTCGCAGACCTTTTCTCTCCTTCCCTATCCTTTTGTTATTGTATTTGGTCTCGGATTATTATTATTATAGACCAGATTTTCCCCAAACTTGTAATGTACAGATGTTCATGTACTCAGTGGCACCGGATTTCGGGTGTGTGTTTATTTCTAATGTTTGTGGGATTTACTCTTAAACTTAATTATTATATTTTCAGTATTTAAAAGAAATTATGGGTTATTGATGTTGTCGGCTTGCCTAGTATCGAGATAGGCACCATCACGACGGGTGAGATTTTGGGTCGTAACACGTACATGGGCTATTTGTGGAAAAATTTAAATTTTTTTACTGAGTAATAGCCTGTTTTCATCTTATCTGAGTATACTAGCATGTGTAGTTATCCTGTTAGCCTAGAATAGCATGTCTACGTGTCCTAATTGCCTATTTGAACTCTTTGCAGCATGTTTAGTAAGTCCTGCTTCTTTCTTGACTTGTACTTAGTCTAAATTGTAGGTTTCTTGTTGTAACTTATATATTCATTTGTTTGAGTTGTG